AATTTTGTGCTTATAGAAAGTTGTACTTATATAGAGGTTAATTTTTATGTTTAATATAAGTTGGTTGTAAAAATTAGTGTAATTATAAGTTAGTTTGCTATAGAGTTAATTGTATTTGAGAATCAATCTGAAGAAAGTCTTGAAGTTATCTCTACCATCTATTGAAGAAAGTTTTGCAAACTGCCTTTATCATCCAGAAAAGAATTGAATTGTCACAAAACTAGTAAACTACATCATGCAGAAAAGGGTTGGCTAAGTCTATAAAGTGACATCTAGAGGATCATATGCACAATTCACAGTTTCTTAAAGTGATTATAGCTGGGTTCTAACATTATATTTAGGACAATGTTGCTTTTGTCAGGTGAGTACTTCAGAATCTTCTGGGAGCTACTCATGCGTACAGATCTAAATTGTACAGATTTAATAGCCATATAGTTATATATTATATCTCCAAGAGAAAAAATCTATATATATATATATAATAATTTTTAAAATAGATTAGGGTATTATTTTTAAAATTTCAGATTATTTCCTTAATTGTTTGTAAACAATAAAGCATATATATATAAATCAAGTATCGATATGCTAAGGTAATCTGATATACACGTATATATAGTATACAGAGTATATGGGATATATTCAGAAATTTTGTTTTATCAATTTTTCAACTATTTCGAAAAGCGCAATAATTAATATATATTTCATAAATGATACTCTTCACAGGAACTATAACAGCAGCTAATTCATTGATAATTAATGATGGTGCTAGTGCTTTGGTGTTTATAACATGTATAAAAGCTGAAGAACTTGTTATCAAACTATTGGCTTAAATTTTTTTAAGTAATTATTACTTTGTGTTTTTATATTACTCATGTTCTATTCATATTTCTCTAAATACAAATATGCTTATATTGGATTAAGCATATGGTAATGCTGCAGTTGAACCAATTGATTTTCTAATTGCCCCATTATATTTCATTCCAATTGCTTTGAAGAAGCTGGTCTTGAAATTTCAGATATTAGCTTATTTGAATTTAATAAGATGTTTAATTATACGTACAAATGAAAAGATTTTAGGTTTAGATTCTGATAAAGTAAATAATGCTAGTGGTTCTGTGAAATTAGGACATCCAATTGGTTCTTCAGATTCTAGGATAGTTGTTACTTTGACTCACTTATTAAAGTCTGGTCAAATTGGTGCTGCATCTATTTGTAATGGTGGTGGTGGTACTAGTTCTATCATTATTGAAAAACTTTAAGTTCTATAATATGATTATTAATATACAAAGATTATTGTTTTAGTGTAAGATAATGGATATGAAGAATTTAAAAATAATAAAATTGATTTGTTTTAGGCAATTTGTATGATTTTTATTAATACTGCTTCAAAAATAAAAGTTTTAATATAAAATTTCTAATTCTAAAGAAAAAATTCAATACAAATTTGCACCAAATTTTATAAGATCATTTTTATAGTATTTAAATTATATTTAATACTATAAATTAATTACAAAACTAATAAAAAACAATAAAAATCAAATATTTAATTTATTTATTTATTTTTTACTATAAAATTCTTTAAAGCAATTAGGTCATACTTTAGAACTACAAAGAGATACATTGTATCTAATACACCATAATTAAGTTTAAGAAATTGAATAAATTTTTTTTTTTATATTTGTCATTATTTTTTATCATAACGACAATATATATATGATTCTTTTTGTTTTCGCCATTTTACTATGTGATTCTCTGGAGAAAATTAATTAAAGGTAGATTAAAATGTTTAGTAACATATACAACTTCTTTATTTTTTAGAGGTGATTTTAATGCAGTTTTTTTTTGGTTTAATTGATTCTGAGTTATTCTGCTACTTTCATTATTTAAAGCTTCTTGAATTAAATCCCATACAAGATTAATTCTGAAGTCTTTACTTGCAATTTTTGTATTTGTAGCTTTGCAATAAAGAATACTACTATTAACTAAAACTGTATCTAATAACTAAAAAAACAGGGGAAACCAAATACGATGTACTGTTAATTGGTAATTGTAGTAACCTCAAAGCTGATCTGCAAGGTTAACATCTCCCATATATTTATTATAATCATCAATTACTTGTAGAATAGGTAATTTTTTCATGACATTTTACCAAATACTTGACAAACTTTATCTGCATTTGTACTTGTTTTATGAGGACGTCACCAATTTTAAATAACTTTCTACTCATCACCTATAATTTTATGAATAGTTGTAAGCATTATAACAGGTCTATTATCAATCTACAATATTATTAAAACATTATCTATAACTACTCCACTTAGTATATTCCAATCTAATAAATAAGTATTATTAAGTTTTAACTTTTTAGGAAATTTGGATGAGTTAATTCGAACAGTTCTACATATACCTATATTATTTTCACATAAGTATATAAAAAGAGGAATGCTTGAAAAGTAGTTATCCATGTATATATAGAAAGTTTTTTCACAAAGAAGCTGATTTGTTAAATGCTATACTATACATTCAGCTTTATTAATATCTGCAATTAACTTCAATTCTGTATTATTTTTAACTCGTGAACTAAACATAAATGTGTACATATATCCAGCATTACAGAGGGAATATATTTTATAACCTTCAGGTACTAGTTTGTTTTTTATTTTTACTGTATACATGCTTCGATCTGAAAAACGAACCATTATTTTGTCTACAGAAACTTGTAAACTAGATATTTATAATTTTTTAAACATATCTCGAAAATGGGATGCTAGTAGCTCTACTTTAGAATACCAGTTTAAATGAGAACTATTCAGATTAGAAATATGAAGAAATCACTTTATTTGTTGAAATCTAAACATTAATATAAATTGTTTAATACTATATATAGCTTTTTATTCATCTAAATTCTACAAATCTTCAATATTGTAAATTTTGTGAACACCTATATAAATAACTATTGCTATTCATATCTTTATTTCTTTTAAAGTTAATAAATGCCAAGTACGATTACCCTTTTTTAACCTGTTAACTCTATTTAATTTTTCGTAACTATTGATGTTATTGACAATTATTTGCAAATAATAAATAATAAAAAATAAATGAAATAATGTAAGTGGACTAATAGTATCTTGCTGCATTTCATATGGCAATATAGTATAACTCCTATGAAACTCTTTAACATTGTCTATTAGCTCAAACTCTGACAATTCTGAAAGGGTTGATATTTTATTTAATTCTACTTTCTTTCCTTTATTTGTTCCTTTACTCATATTTTTTTGCTTCTCCCACCCGCTCTACTTTTTTCATCTTTCTTGTAAATACTTTTGGTGCTTTCTTCATACATATTCAGAATCCGTGGAATTAGTGATATAATCAGTAATATAATCCTGTTCTTGCATCATAAATAGATCTTCATAATCTATCATGTGGTTAATTATCGTCTCTCCATAATTATTATGCTTGAAGGTAACCAAATATTGCGAATCAGAGAAAGAATTATTATCTGTAGTATTATAGTCATCATTAGAAATATTATTATTAGCATTATTATCACTATCGGTCATAATATAAGCCTTTTTTTTTTTTTTTTTGACAATTCAGAAAAATTAAAAGTGTCAATCTTTTCGATCTTTTATATTTAAAGAACATTTTCAGAAGTTCATTAAACCTTATTGTTGTTGTTTACAACAAAAATGCATCAAGTCATATATTACAGTTACATATGCATACATTGTGCCACAAACAATAGAGGGATACTTTTAGTAAATTTTAGAGGCAGCATGAAAAATTTGCTGGAAATCTGAAATTCAGTGCAAATTTGCACCGAATACAGTTTAAGGAATAGTAGTATTGATATTTTTTTAAAAAAAATTAGATTTTTTCTAATAAAAATTCAAAAAGACTTAATCAAAAGCTATTTATATATATTTTTGATAGTATATATTGAAAAGAAGTATCTATATAACATATTAAACAAGTTAATCATAATTTAGTTGAAAGTAAATCAAAGCCACAATTTGAAATTTAGTGAAAAGTAGATTTTATATGGAAGGGTCTTGTTAGTTAATTAGAATAGCAATATATTATACTATAGCACTATGTAAAAATTTTTTTTTCACAATACAGTCTAATTGCTAAAAAAAAAATAAGGTTCCTAATTCCTGATCAAATAAATAAAATGTTACTAAAAATATAAAATTCTTAATTCCTGATCAAATAAATAAAAATATTGCTAAAATATAAAATTCTTGAACAAATAAATAAAATATAAAACTATAATTAAAATATAAAAAAAAAAATTTATAAGAAAAAACTCTTAAACATAAATAAGAGTTAAATGAAAAAAAAATATTCGTAACAGTTGATGCATGTAACAGTCTAGCAGTTGGCCAATCATTTTTAGTTTAGAATTTGATGCACATATTTTATTGGTCGTACTAGTAAACTGTTACATAACCGCCTGCTACAAATAGATTCGTCTTAAAATAAAGTGCTAATATCAAATTAATGATTACTGTTAATCCTCATCCTCATAATAATACACCGAAATTAAGAATAAATAGAATTAAACTTCATACTCACGCTGATAATTTAATGCATGATAAATGATCACGGTTAATCCTCTATTCTTTTAATATTCCAACATTAATGAATCGAATTAAACTTTATACTCACTGATTTTTCTTATTTTTATTTTTATTTATTTTTATTTATTTTTTGAGCATAGCTGGTGTTACGACTTAGGGAGAGCGTTTATATATCCAAGCCAATTTAGTCCAGCGCCGTAAGCATAAATCCTGATGTAGGTTGCACAGTCCGGATCCGTATG